AAGAAGCGGGAAGAAGATTAAAAAATTAGGAGTATTGCAGAACTGGATCAAACTTGTCTAATGCGATTGTGACTTGTCATCCTTCCTACTTTTCTTTCACTGTTTTTCCCTCCTGTCATTGTCAGTTATGTATCTGTTTTGTAAGACTTGCCTGTTATAAAAAAAACAAAATAGTGATGAAAAATTCTTCATTCCTTGCTCCCAAAACGAGTTAATCCCTTTGGTTCCCCGGGTTAAAAGATAGACTGTATATAAAAGAAAGAAGACACCCTTTTTGTGACCACACCCACATTATTAAATATTTGGATTAGCCATATTTGCATCAAATATCATTAGTTCTGGATCAAAATGTATTGCAGAACTGGATTTTCTCAACTGTGATATCGCTTCCTTTAGGTCGGTGATTTCCCAACTTTTGGCAGGGGGCCACCTTGTGTGCTGCGAAGGTACTGCAGGAGGGCTGCAGTAATAACAGAAATTGAGTTTGAAATTACTCTCAAGTTACACATTTATATGCATCTATTTATTTACATAAGAAGTGAATTAAAACTGGAAGCAAGAGGTGGTTAGCTTATACATATATCACTCTTTACTTTGACTTAAATTTACCACTCTTGTATTGAAGTTTGTGTCCCAATGGTCTTCAGGTCACACATTTAGCTTAACACTTAGCATATGATTGGGTAGCATTAGCAATTTACAGCCAACAGCCTGTGCTGTTTGTGCTTTTTGAATAAAAAATATCAAGGACATATGTCACATTCTTTTGTATTTTTATTAGAGTGAAAATTTACAATTGTGTGGGTCCCATTGTGATCGGTTGTTAAGCGGATCGCAGCACTCTTGACTTTAGGAATTGCTGCTTTAGCGGTATCTTTAATTTAAATATATGGCAATTAAAAATAGCTTGTCGTGTAGTCAATTGCTCTGACAGCATGTTTAAAAACGCTATGCTCCAGTTTTTTTTATCAGGTGTGTGCATGATCCACTCATATAGTTATCTGCTAACCACATCTGCTAACCAAGCTAGCTAGCGTTAGCTGATCTATAGAAGTCCAACTCGGGTACAGGTTGAACTGGTGACCCTTTGTGCCACAAGGCTATTGGAACAGTCGAGGTTTGAGCCTGTGGCTCTCTGCTCCCCTACACAGCAACGGGCTCATTATAAAGGCCCCCAAAATATTTGTTAAAACACAATATGGTTACTTCTGGCTTTAAAAGCAAGATGGTGATGACCACACTGTCAAAGACAAAGCTAGTTCACAAACCAGTGAATGACATGGATAACACTGTGGTTACTAGGTCCACCTTTTAAAACCAGAGTGCCTTCATTGAAATGAAAATGTGATACAAAATAAAGTATTATTTTTGTGACTGATTAATCTCTACATATTTGTTGTCAAGAGCTAACACAGCTAGCATAGTCAACAAACTGTGATAAAATTATAAAAACAAACCCTCACATTTCTTTCCCCAGACCATTGCAATGATACAAAAGAGAGTTGAGCAATGGATCATACCACATGAGCAGCTGGAAGCGGCCAATGTTTGCTTGATGAATAACACAGAATTAAACGATGGTCAGAATTGTTGATAATTAAATTAATTAGAGCGAATCACTTCGGCAGCAGAACAAAACAAATGCTTCCCTCCTGCTGGAGGACATGCAGGCTGCAGCTGAACAGGAGTACACTGCTTTCCTTAGCGGCTGGGCCCTACTCGCTACCCAGTGTGTTGGCTTCCAAGAAACCTCTGGTCCCAGCCACTTCCCCTCACCTTCTCCAGAGTGGGCATTCCAATATAGATTAGCTGGAAATCTTTCCTGTTCTACTGAGGATAATCCTCCGAACAAGGCTGCTCGGCTCTCATATTAAGAATGATTTAGGCACAGCGGATTCCGGTCAGGTTGAGACTGCTTTCATGTTATGATGTGGCTGTTTCAGTTCTCCTACATACTCTGTGGAAAGAATGGGAGCTGACAGAAGAAAGGAGAGGAAAACTGAGTTCAAAGTCATCATGTGGATTTGTAACATGAATTAGGGTCACTGTTACACTACAGCTCCATCCATTTCAAAGAAAAGAGGAAGTGTGGGTGTGTGCAGAATGAAGGGTGCCTGGGAGTTAACTTTAAAGACGTTTGAGGTCTTGGGGATATTTCCACATCAGGTTTTCCTTCAGCCTCACATGCACACACACACACAAACACACACATATTACCCACCACATAGCAAAACATTCATCAGGACTGTGTTAGTATGAATGGGAATGACAAGAAAGCCCTTCTGGGGGTCACACAGTGGAGAGTATTTACTCCACATAATGTGATTTAAAAGTGACTGAGAGGACACTGCTGCCTTTAAGATAACAGGAAGCTTTAATTATCACCATGTCAAAACTGGGCTAAATGGGTTAGTTAGGCTGCTGTGATGTGACTGAAACAAATGAGCCGTTCGTTTTTCTCAATATATATTCAGCTCATTTCAGTCAAATTCATAAAAAGAAAGAAAGAAAGAAACCCGGGGATGTTACCACAGGCAGTGAGCCGTCACACTTTCTCCACTCCGGGGTGGATTTCTGTAGGCAGAGGCAAGAAACGAGAAAAAGTCTTCCTAACAAGATTTATAATTTTACGCCAAGGGTTCAAGCTTTTTGGCTTGTTCTACCCCCGAGTGGGATTGGTCAGCATTTCGTTCTTTAATTCATTCATGGAAACGCCACCTTATGTTCTTCCTCACAGCGAGTGTGTGTAAGAGGAGATGGGTCCAATCGGAACACAATGCGAGTTTTAGCTGTGGAGAAAAAAAATAAGAAAACACTGGCTCGTTCCAAACGAAAGTGAAAAGGACAGTAAGGGGAAGGACAGGGGTTTTTAGTGGTTTTACACTTCAGTGGTGCTGTTTGAAAGGCCTTTCAGCAACTTGGGTGGCACGGTTGTTCCTAGCATCTCCGTTAATGTATTGTCATTGGCTCCGTGCACTTGTCAGGATCATTGCTCACTTTCTCGGGACAAAAATGTTGATTTTGCTTTATATAAGGCGAGGCCAGGCAGCAAGCAGCAGCTCCTCAGTCGTACGTGAAATCGGACTCGTTTTGTGAGAGCTTGTGTCACTGCAGACACGTCCAAATTCCTCTGACGTGTTTATTGTTGCCTTTTATTTCACCGAGGTCATACTGCATGGCTCACCCCCCTTTTTTTTGCTGCCCCTCCATGAGAAATCTTGTGTGTCGTGTAAACAGAGGACCAGAAAATAACAAGCACAAGAAAAAAGGAAAATTTCCACCCCGGCGTCCCCTCGCCTCCCTCCCCTTTCAGTGTACCCACTACTTGTTGTCCTTTATTTGTAGCCTAAGTGCCTTGGCATTAAATCTTATTATTTTTTTGGTAAATAAACCAGTTTCTGGTAGGAATTACACACAACTTGGTGTGAGGTCCTTTTCAGTAAAAGGGGCCTGGATCCTTTTATCTAAAATGTTTTCTATTTCTGCTTTTGTAAGACACTTTTGAGTGCTTTGAAAGAGAGAAACCAGGTTTTTCTTGCGTTTCTGGGGGTGAGGTTGGGGATTTTTCTCAGCATTGTGGTGAGATTTATTCTAAGAGGCTGCATTTTTTCCTGATTTCCCTCTTTGTTCTCTGTAAGTAGTTCCAGGCCCCCCCTCGCTCTCTCTCTCTCTCACACACACACACTCGTCTGTGTGTGCGTAGATGCGCACAAAGCTCTGTGATTTTGCACATGGGCGTACGCGTGTGCGCAGGGGAGGCACATGTGTGAATGTGTGCGCGCGAGGCTGAGGCGGGGACTCGACGTGACACCTGCTGTTGGGATGAATAGGGTCAGTGGCAGGGCCCTTCAGCAGGCAGCAGCTGCTTGTTCTCACTACAAACCCGACTCCCCGTGAGCATCAAAGCCTCGGGGACTACAACCGAGGGCCCTGACACAACACACAGTGCCCTCTACCACCATCTCCTATCATTACAGTTATTATCCTCAACTATTGCAACCCTCCCGCCCACCCCCTCTCCCAGGGTCACGATCTTAATCATTCGGAAGGAAACTTGAAATTGACCTGAGAAAAACATCAAAAAGCAAACTTCAATTTCCATTCTTGCGCTCTCTTAAAGCAGGAAGAGGTTTCCAGACAGCTGCTGACAGACAAGGATTCCTGGTATTTGGTTGGTCTGACCTGTCTGTGCTCTCTTGCTGTGTGGTAGTCTGCCCCACGTGTGACTTAGTAGGTCTGAAAAACATTCCCTGTGGCATAACAGAGGGAGAGGGGCAGAAGATAAACAGTGAGGTAGGAAAACATCAGTCTGTGCTTTAGCTGCTTCCAAAGCGAGTCCATCACGTTTATATGCCATCTGTTTGGACAGGTTTTCTTTTTTAAATTAGAAATTAAGAAAAAAAATAACATCGCATTAATCCATAATCACATGGTAGACTTACAAAGTACACATCCTTTGGTAGCATTTTGTTTCACCGGCATTCTTCAGAGTTCACAGTGAAGGTAGGACAAATCCAGCATCTTCCCTTATCTATCCACCAGAGGTCAGCCTTTTATTAGCAAAATCTGAAGCCTCACAAAACCGCTTTTTTTCATGAGAAAATTTACATTAAAAGGGGGTAAAAATCTATAAATTACTAGCAATGGAGACCCGATATATGAATGATTTTGCTTTGCTGTGTTGTACAAACAGGGGCGTGTGTCTGAGGTTCTGAGATGAGTCACGGCACTAAAGCCTCCTGCTGGTTATTTGGGCTCAAACATACTATTAAAGTATACACATTGCAGTCCTTTTGCAGTGCACTTGTTAAATGAAGGGTTTGTCTACTTGATACTAAGCAGGCAGCCGATGGTGCTGTGAATATTTCACTTTTTTGCCTGACTGGGAATTAAAAAAAAAAGAAAATGCAAAAAAAGTTTCCAGCTGAGCTGAAAATTCTTAACAAAAACAAACAAGTCGGTTCAAAGTGTTCCCGCCTATTTTTACAGTTGTGCGTGTGGTTTTTTTTGTTGTTGATGTTGTTGTTTTTGCTTATTAAATCATTCCTTAATGTTGCATGCCCTTTTTTATTTGACACATGTAGTTTGCAGGAAGTTGAGCTAAGATGCAGGTGGCAGGAGTCTGGTCCTTTTGCTGAGTTTGTAGTTGAAGTACATGAGAGCCTTGGACTGCGGGGCTCTCCTGGGTTGGCAGGTGCGTCCGTTGCCGAAGAATCCCTCCAAACACAGACAGGTGTAGGAACCATCGGTGTTGAAGCAACGAGCATGGCGGCTGCACCGGTGAGCCCCGGTTAAACATTCATCCTCATCTTTGGAGAAGAAAAGAAGGAAATAATAGTTTGATGGCCTCACAGCATGCGAGTATGCTAGACCTGCTTTACAGTTGTTTTATTGATCAGCGGGAAGAGAGCAAAAAGGTTTTGGGACTGACTCCTCGAAACCTGCCTAATAGATAATTTTGCAGTGTTCATCACACAGATGAAAAAAAAAAAAAACAGCTTGCGGGTGAGCCCACAGCTGAGTGGGTGAGCTATGTGTGCTCATCAAATAAACATGGTCTCTGGATTCTCTGCTGCCAAAACACATCTTCACATGATCCCTCTCCTCTGCCAATTAGCGCAGATGAGGAGAACATGTGGGGATGGTGCTGTGATCCATTTAGTCATTTACGGGGCTGACATGGAACCAATTTGAAAGAGATTTTCAAAAATTCATATCACTTCTGGCTTCACTTTGGTGGGAAATGTTATATCTTCTTTGCTCTCTCGCTGTATTTCAGATTTTCTCAGTATGCAAACATGCCCAACCATTCAAGTCCAAGAAGACAACAAAGTTCTATAAATTAAAAAAAAAAACACACAAAATACACACGCACACACACACACACACACACACACACATGCATGCACACATACACACGTGACAGTCTGCTCAACAACATTGCTTTTCACCTCGGCATTTAACGGAGCCCTCCAGCGCCCCCATCACAAAACCGTCTTTGCACACACAAACGAAGCTGCCAAAAGTGTTCTTGCACGTCCGCCGTGGTGGACACACATCCTGCTGACACTCGTTTACATCTGGAACACAACGCAAATAAATGTTTGAATTGCACATCACTGACGTTTTTGTTATTTTGGGGGACACAACAGCTCAGTATACATCACTTCAGAAGACCTTACACTGACTTACATTCATTTCCTGGAGATTTACACTAAACTCTTAACCTAATTTCACCCTAAGCCTAAACCGTGTGTTCACCTTAATGTTTGATGATGACACCTTATTTTTTCCCCATGAAGAAGACATGACCACATATTGTGAGTCAGTCCACACCTGGACCACACACACACACACACACACACACACACCCACACACACACACACACGCATGCGTGCACACAAACACGGTCCAGTCTTTCCAGGACAAGGTGCTTTCTTGTCTTTGCTCAAAACAGCAATTACCTTCTAAAACACACAAATGAGTACCTGGACCTCACGTCATTGCTTTGAAAGGTGCGCTGTTAAAAGACAAGGAATGACCCAAACGCATACAAATTCAGGTGTGGACCATGAAGCTGTGTATGGGTTTTTGGCACAACCTGCAAGTCACTCATGAAAATATAAAATCATTATCAAAGTCTGTGAACCAAGACCACAGATCTATGGAGCTGAACTAGATTTTAAAGCCGACCTGTTTATGACACTTTAAGCGGGGTATAGATTGAATAAAACCTGGACATCACCAACATTACGTCACAAATTTGGTTTTGGATTACCAGTTTCAAATCTTCATCATTAATGTTTGGTATTTTGGAGAAGCTACCTTATACCTCGCAGATTCTAGATGGGACACCTCTCAATCAACACAACCACACCCCTAACTCAATTATCAAGGTAGATGAGTTGTAAAAAGAAGAGGGGAAACCATCCACAAAGGCCAAAACGATTTTGCCCCCTCTACCAGGTTGTAAATATGCTTTTTTAGTGTTGAAAAATTGGGCATTTTATCATGGGAGTTTATAGGGATTAACTCATTTCTGGAGCCAGCCTCAAGTGGCCACTAAAGGAACTGCAGTTTTTGCCACTTACAAGCTGAACTTATACATTATCTTTACTGAAGGCTTCATTAATGCATATAAGATCCTACTGAAAAAGATAGAGCATCTTTAGAAAATTAGTTGAGAAGTACTAAGAGGAATTTCTAATATTTTGCACCAACTCTGTGAGCGATAAAGGATTTTTTGTGTGTTATATTTGAATTATTTAAATGTCTCTGTACTTAATAAGCTGACAACCAAATATTTTCTTTCCTATGTAATATACTTACTTTAAGGAAGAGGAGGAACACCTGCAGAATTTAGACTTTTTAATTATTATTTGTCATTTGTCCCAGTGTCATTTAAATAGAGCAGTATTTCGGTGAGAGAAAAACAAAAAACAGTGACTTCCCACTGCCTTTGAAGTTGACTAGCTCCCACACAGAGTGTGTGAATGCCCCTTAACAGCTGCGAGGTTCGCTTCATTACAGGACAGGAGTCGTCAGGAGTTATCGAGAGGGACTCCAGCATTTTAGGTAATTCCCTTCATTTTAGGTCATTAAAGGCTATTTTTACCACTGGGTGGACAGATCAGTGGATCTCTGGTAACTTAGCTGCAGGTAGTTGACATAATGTGCATGGTTTCATCACACTCAACTGAGTGTGGAGGCTTTATTTTTATTTTTAAGCTTTGAGCAAACATTTCCTAATAGATTCATCTATGAGTTCTAATTAAGCATTTATTCAGACCTGATAAGTTAATGATTATAAATCAAAGCTCTTTAGCTCTTTAAACAGACATCAGTTAAAAATAA